CTTGTAATAACAGCAGAAATGGCGGAGAAAAGGGCAAGGAAGATCAAGAATTGGTCAACACCAGGTGAAGATGAACTGCATGGTTTTTGGCTGAAACATCTGGCTGGTCAGCACCCACTCAACGCCAAGCAGCTTAACGACTTACTGCAAGGAGGTGAAATTGAAGATTGGTTAACATCTGGCAAAACCTACCTGATAATGAAAGATCCAGCAAAAGGCACAGCACTAGGCAACTACAGCCCAATTACCTGCTTACCAATAACGTTCAAATTGCTAACTGGTGTTGTAGCTGATGCAGTCCAACAGCATCTAGTTGAAAACAAACTCTTTCCACCTGAGCAGAAAGGAAACTGCCCAAACACCCCTAACTCTAACCAGTAGTGGTGGTCACAGTGGTTATCGGCACACTGGGTTCCATGCCAAAAAACCTTGCACGGCACTTAGAAAATCTGTGCATTGACAAAATTTCCATCTGTCAGTTACAAAAGGCCACGCTGCTTGGATCTGCACATATACTACGCCAATATATTACAATATCCTGGGTTCCTGCGAAAACTTGATTGGAATGAAGGCCAACACCAGCTAAAGAACTGTCAGCTGCGATTTTACGTTGTTGTGTAAATAATAATAATAATAATAATAATAATAATAATAATAATAATATAACCTATAGCAATAACATTCCAGTTACTCAGTGGAATGAAAATAACAATTGGAATGTGGTTATCTCTAGATATATGTGTTACAAGAAAGGCAGGGAGGTTATACTGGGTGTGGAGTTGCTGTATTATGTCAAAGAGGACATGGAGTTCCATAAAGTAGAACTCACAAAAGGAGCAAAGTTTTCTACTGAATCATTGTCTCTACGTCCTTCCCAAAAGCAAGTTAGTACTAGCTATTTGTTATCTCCCTTCTGACTAAGAAACTAATGCTGTCCTACAGCTGGGAAATAAAATTAGAGAGGCATCAGAAATAGTAATAGTAATTGGCAACTTCAATCATCCTTGTTGAGGCTGGGGAAATGTACCTTCTAGATTTGAAGAAGAGGTCAATTTTTTAGACTCACTGAATAATTGAAGAGCTAGTCAAAGAAGCCAACAAGGGGAGATGCAACATTGGATGTAATCTTACATAGTGCTCAGAACCCTGTTCAAGACATAAACATGATTCAACCAATTGGGAATATTGTTGTAACTTTCACATGCAAGTAAGTGGATACTTGCAGAAACAACACCAACATGGTTATGTTGGACTTCAGCAGAACAAACTTCCAAAAATAGAAGGGTATTGGTGAAAAGAAAATTGAAAGGAAAGTTCAAGAGAGTCAATTTTCTGCACAATGTTTGAACATTATTCCAAACTACAATAATAGAATCTCACTTCAAATATATACTTCAGACCTGGAAAGATATACAAAGAACACCAGCCTAGCTCCCAAGCAGAGTCAGAACTTCTATGGAAGTCAAAAAGGATTCTTTTGAAAAATGTAATCCATCTACAAATGAGAAGAACATAAACGAACACAAATACCACAAAAATAATACAGAAACAAAGTCAGTGAAATATGCCTCTCCTTAAAAGACTCAAGTACGCATGGCAAAATACATTAAAACAAACAACAATAACAAAAGTTACAACAATATTCAGAATAGGGAACCTGGGCTATTGGATGATGGGAGCCATGAAAGGTGTGATCCAACAGGACTCCTATTCTTCGTTCACCTTATGAACACTCCAATTAATGCATTCTGGAAGAAAACTGGACCATTCCAGGAACGGACTGCATTGTTTAGCATAAAACTAATAAATGGGCAAGCCCTCCTATGACAGTGGTTTTGTGTGAATGGGGACAATCTGCTCCCATAATTCCAAATGTATCTCCTGTCCTCAAAATGTTGTTTCAAAAAAGTTATAAAAAATGAATACTGTAAAAGGATCATGTCACACCCCCTCCTCATGAAGGAGCTTCTCCATCAGTCTGGTGAAAGTGCAGAGAGAATTTGTTGGTCATTTGTTACTTTCAGCGCCCGGCAACATCCTGTTGTGGTTTTCAGAGGAGCAGCATAGCATCCACTTCAATGCATCTGCCTGCTGTGAGCACCATCTGAGCATTATTTTTCTAAAGACATCAGCAGCACTGGTGGGTGGCAGGTGTGCTGCTCTTCCTGTCCTAGCTCAGGCAATTATGGGGGCAGCAGGAAGCTTGTGGCTGATGCTACTGAGCTGAGGCACCGAGGCTGCCTGAACCTGCAGGAAGTAGCAGAGTAGAGCAAATGCAAGCAGGCGTGCAAAGTCTCCCTACTCATGTCCTGTAGATTTTTACCAATTTGTAATCATTCTCTGAACATACAACCCTGAACAATAGTCTTTTTCTGCCTGACAGACTGGAAATGTGTTAGGTTGCCACCGCTAGATTCCCTTTGGCCAGGGAATTTTGCCAAGCATAGTCCCAACAGAGCCTGATGTTTTGAGTTGCAGCTTTTCTATTCCACCCTCTAGGTCTTTTTATATGTGTTGAACAGCATAGAGCTGAGGATGGAGCCCCGGAGGACCCTCAGTCAGTACTTCCCTCCAGGTTGATGCAGGATCAACTGTCAGCACAGTGCCCTTTAGATGTGGTTACTCAACTGATTGCAAATCACCAGATTGCAGTACCTTCTCGCTCAGGGTTCCTCAACCTTGGCAACTTGAAGATGTGTGGCTGGCTGGGGAATTCTGAGAGTTGAAGTCCACACATCTTCAAGTCGCCAAGGTTGAGGAACCCTGAGCTAGCTCTCACATACTTATCTTGAAAGACCTCTCGAGAGTGTTTTACAAAGTACTCTATGTCCCCAGACCACAGCAGCACCCAGTCATTAATTATGTCATAAAAAGAGATACTTTTAATCTAACACTTGTTCTTAACATACTCATTCTGGTTCCTGACAATAGTTGTGTTTTTTCTTCTAAGTGCTTTCAAACATGCTGCTTAACAACCTGTTCTAGTACCTTGTCCAGGGCAGAAATAAGTTGGTATGGAGTTTCCTAGGTCTTGCTCCTTCTTCCTTTAAACATTTGGGTGATATTTGTTCTTCGGGCATCTCACCAATTCTCCAGAGTTTTCAAATATTACAATTAGTTTTGGATAACTTCTGCTAGTCACTGGGATGTAATTTGTTAGACCCTGAAGACTCAGATTCACCAAGGATAGCAAGGTAGATTTTGATTAGTATATATTTATAATAAAGGTATTATTCTGAGCTTTAGCTTGATATCATCCCTAGAGACTTGCTCTACCAGTTTGAACTCCATTTTAGTTATTATATCCTGCTCACATCTCCAGTGCACTTTTTTTTTTTTTTTGCTTCTCAGCAACATTGCCTACTCATCCATACAGTTTTCATTAAAGCTACCTAAGTGAAATCTAGGATACATGAATTACCTCCTTCAGCTTCTTCTCCCCTAGTTATCTTGAAGACCAGTCTGATGTGTTTGCTTTTACTGGTGCCTGACACTTTCAAGCCATCAACCAGTTTTTCTATATTAATCAGAATTAGGTCCAGGATAGTTGATCTTCTTGTTCTTCCACCTCTGAAAAATGAAATAATCTACAAGGGCCAGAAATCTACTGGACCTCCCCTTCCTACTTAATTTCCTAGCATATCTCTGATTACCACTATTAGTTTAGGAAAACATTATCCACAACTTCAATCTGGATAGGAGGTCTATGGTAAACTTGCACAATATCATATTTGCTTCTTACTCCTTTTAATCATTCCAGGGTATTTTAAACAGGACTTGCATACTCAAGGCCAGGAATCTCTTCACTGGTATGTATCTTCTTTATTCCAAAGTTCTCCCACCAAGTTTCTACATACCTATCAGATATATGATTACCCATATTAGGATTTCTAATTCTCCCATGTGTTGCCCATATTCTGTGCATTGATGTGCAGACACTGGAGGTTGGGGATATCACTGTTTATTAGGTCTCTCTACTATTATATGTGGAGATTTCTGAATGCCCTTTCCTGTCTTGAACAAGCTACATTATCATAGGAAATCATATGCTAATGCCCAGCCTGTGCCTTCTCATTTAGTAGGAACGGATAGTGATCAGTTGCTCTTATTAGACTTAGTAATCTTTCCATCATGTTCTTGATAGGTATACATAACAGCGAACTTCCCATGACAGCTTGTTGATTTATGTTTTCTTTGCAAAATTAAGTCTACCACCACCACTCCTCTTTTCCTCCTCAGTGGAGAACTTTGGTTCTGTTTATCCCTACTGAGTTCGCTCTTTTCCATAATTCTGTCACCCTAACTTCTCCAAACTAATTTCAGATGGTTGGAGCTTCCTTTCCCTGTCCAGATCCTCAAATCTGTTACTCAGTTCCAGTGGCACAGGCTATCTCTGAATATGTTGACTTTTTTTCTTTCAAGATGCCTCCAAGAACTCAGAATTTTCATTGAAATGCCTTCTTCCTTCTTGAAGTCCTCCTTATACTTCTCTAATCCTGGACAATTTCCAGTGCAATGTCCTACTCTGAGGTTATTTCAGCTGGCCTTCAGGAAGAATCCTCTTTGTCCTTCACTTATGAGCTTAAGCTGGCCTTCATTTTTTCATATTCTTTTCCAGGTGAAAATGTGTGTGTGTGTGTGTGTATGTATGTATGTATACACATACACATACACACACACACACACCATCTCCACCCCTGCACCATTTAAGAACATTTCCAGTCAGAAGGTAAAGTTCAGCTCCTCCCCCCATTTTCTCTCCCTTCCCCCCAATTAAGGCCAATCTGAATGTTGTTTATTAAGGAAAATAGGAAGTTCTGCTGCTCCCCCAGTAGTTTTGGATAGTTTACCCAAAATAGATAGGCCAGGCAGATCACTCTGCATATGGCGCTTAGTAAAAATGTGCAGCAAAAGCCCATCTCCGGATGAGGAACACAGGCAGGAAGCCCTCCCTAACCCTGCACTTTGAAGAGTTTCATTTTTTCTCACGACTCCATGCAGCCCAGCAGAGAGAGAACTGCACTGCTCTGGATGATGGTAAGTGAACCAATGATCCAACAGGACAGAAAAAGAGAATGAATATGGAAGTGATGCATAGTTCAGTCTAGCCAAGACATGCATTAATAGCTCAGATTTCTACTACAATGCAGCTGAAATCAGTTACTCTACTGGGCTAGAAATGGTGGTTAGCTAAGGTGCTGAGTTCTCTATACTTTCCCAGAATAACCAGTTTCCAACTTAATTCATTTGTTTACCAATGGCAAGTCCCACATTTCTCAGAATTGGTTAAGAAAAGCCACAGTATGGAAAATAGTGTAAGGGAACTGTTTTTTGCACAGGCTAATTAGTCTTTTTAATTTTGTATGGATTGGGGTGGAGGGAAGAAATGCTTGTCCCTCTGTAGCATGATGAAAAACTTTATAGAAAAGCCATAAGTGCCACATTTTCTACATTCCTGGTTTTGAAACAATTAGAAGCAGTCTATTTCCATTACCTTTTCCTTTAGTGTGGTTAAGCCAGATACTGTTGCTTTGGAATGACTCCTCTCTCACCACTTAAAGAAGTTCATTACAAACCATTTGTAAGCCACTGAGAATACATATTTTGTTCTTCAGAGCTATAAGATGATTTTGTTTCTATACCAAGGAACCAAGACTGTATGGCATTAAGAAGATTGGTTAAATTTCTCTTGTTATTTGGCTCTTTTGTACTATTTGTGAGTTACATTGAGTAGCTAGAAGGTTTTTCTGGGTAACCAATGTCAGCTGGTTAAAAGAACAAGACAGTTGTTCTTTTACAACCCCCATTTTCACCCCTTTCTTTGTGTTGAGAAAATGTTGTGTCCTGTTGGGTCACATGCTGCCTTGTCCACTATCCAGAAATGCACAGGGCTAGGCAACTTGGAGCATGCAGATATTGTGAAGTTCACCTCCAATCAGTCCTAGTCAGCATGATCAATGGTAAGGGGTTGGTGGGGTTGAAGTTCATCTAGAAGACAACAGATGCCATTTGCTCCTGCTCTAGTAGTTCCTTCTGTTGACTTGCTATTTGTTACAAGAGGGATAGTTACAAATAGCTGCTCCTTGATTTCAAGAACTTTCTTTTAGATAAGAGAGTATAAGATTGCAACCTAGAAGAGCAACTTCTGCTAGCCATGCTCTGTGCCAAAACAACACTCCCAACCCAGCTGATAATTCATACAAACATTGCAGGGTTATGGTGAAAGCTGATACTGAAGACTGACTTCTAATAATATATATGCAAATAGCCCTCAAATATTTTAGTTGCTTAAGTGGGTTAAGGTAGAAGTTCATGTAGCCTGAATTTTTGTGCACATTGTAAACTTACTGAGAGGGCTACACAAGCTGTAGGATTTTTTTTCCTGGATACTGTTTCTTTCCTTATCTTCCTTTCTTCAATGAGCCGCTGTCATTATTTAATTAAAGGGAAAGAGAAAGCTTCTTAACATGTTGGGAAATATGGCCACAAGACCATGCCAATATTCTTGGGAACGAATTAAGATTAGATGTTCATTGATCAGACTGAATATCCATCCTTTTCGTAAGACCAAAACAATTAACAGTGGATGGAAGATTTAAGTGTGTCTCCTTATGCTACTCAATCCTTGAAACAATATAGAGGACATAAGCACTTTTGCTGAACCAAGGCTACTGAACTACTAAACATGCAGTACCACACTGGACTCTAGTGACTAGTAAATAGAGGGGCCAACCTACCTTCCCAACTTGATAATCAACCAAGGTGTTAGACTGGCTTCCATAAGGCCCAGCAGCCAAGCAGGCAGATCTTACAAGAACTAGATTCTAGCATATCTGGGAAGCATCTGGATGGGGTAGAAGCAGCAAGGGAGAGAAGTGACTGTGTTAATCAATCAATGTACTACTGCAACTCAAACTAGATGCAAAGGAAACTTGTAAGTTGCAAACTTCGCCATGCAGAGGGTCTTCTTAAGGAGGGGACAACGTGGACAATGGCCCTAGCTTCACAGATAGTCTCACCTGTCCAAAGTATGGTTCTCTTTTGGAATGATCAAATTACTTCATACTAATCTAGAAAAATATATTCTGAAGGGTTATTTCTGTAATTTAGGTTTTCCCATACACTCCAGTTGCTGGGTCATTATCTTCCATGGCTAAAACATTAAATTAATATAGATTGCAGAGCAAGGAAAGTAGGAGTATGGGTGGAATACTAAAATGAATGTACCATCCCTAGCCCACTAACAGATTAAGAAAGGCCTTCGTCTTGTGTCAGAACCTC